CTTGGCAAACAATCATATAAACAAAAAAAAAAAAAAAAAGTGGAGCTGGGTTCTGGGTTTCGTCGAACCCAGCAACTGGGTTCGATGGAACCCAGGCGAGGTTTTGTCGAACCCAGCAACTGGGTTCGATGAAACCCAGGCGGGGTTTCGTCGAACCCAGCAAACTGGGTTCAATGACCCGAGGAAGAAGAGGAAGAAAGAAGAGGAAGAAAAAGAGAAAGGAAGAAGATGAACAGAATTTTTTTATTTTATTTTTTAAAAATATAAATAGTAATCATGTGAGTTGGCATGAAAAAAAATTTCACATCAACACGTTTTCAATTTGTTTTTGCCACGTCATCAAAAAAATTATTAAAAAATGTCACATAAGCGAGTTAACGATCGAAATTAACAGAATGACTAATGAAGTGCATTTCATATAGTTGAGGGATCAAAAAAGTGCAAAAAATTGTTGAGGACCAAAAATGTGCAACTCACTAAAGTTGAGGGACCAAATTTAGCATTTAACCTTATGGATAAGATGTGGTTTGTAAGTAATTGTAATAAGATGTGGTTTGTAAGTAATTGTAAAGTTAGTTGAATTAAAAATTCAAATGCCCATATTTTCGAAAAAAACAAAAAAGTTAATGTGTTTCACTTTTTTTTTGGCTCAACTAAACTCATATAATTAAATCAAAAGCACACAACATTTACATAATAAATTCTTATCTTATTGATAAGAATAGATGATAAAACAAAGAAAGCACAATTAGAGATAACAATTCAAGTTCAACAAAAGATAAATATAAAGATGGACAGTGAATAATTACACGAACAACTTCTAAGAAATCTAATTTTTGCAAATTCCTTTGGTTAAACATTCTAGAAAACTAGACATCCTTCAATTTACTCTTGAAAATAAGCCCGCTTTCCAAAATGTCGTGGCAAGGAGATCAAAGCAAGCAATGACCAACCCTTAATTTTCACTTTATTATCTTATTGGTCATCAGATCTAAATGAAACAAACAAGAAAATAGGGAACAATTAAGAAAAAGAAAAAGACCACCAAAATGGGCCACAAAAGAAGCCAATAAACCACTCAAGGTGGTCAATGGACAAAGAAACACGAAAGGTCGGCTCCACCATACTTGAGAAGCCAGAGGGCTTCCAAGCACAAAAAACTCGTGAAGTCAAAGGGCTTATAAGCACCAAAAAAACTGAAACTTTGGGAAGGTTTAGTTAGAAACAGTAGGATTCTAGAGTAGAAAGAGGAAAGATTTTTTTGTTAAGATGCTTCACTTCAAATTAATAGAACTCTCACAAAGTAAAAACAAATTTTATCTTATAAAATAATAAATAATAACTAATTTACACATATTTTAGATAAAAATAATTATTATTATTTCAAGATAAAAATAGTAAAAATGAGTGGCTCACTAAAAATTGACCTAAAAATTGGAACTCAAGTGAGTTAATAATTAGCTATTTGGGATTGCAAGGGGCTCCTCAGCATACCCTGAATTAAATTTTTTAGTCAATATATGCCAATTATACCGGACTCTTGATGGCTTTGAATTCAATTTCAGTTTAGAGGTGTGGTAACCCAAAGCCTAATATCCCTTTCAGATTAACGGAATCGTGGTCCCATATTTTGCCCCAAAAATTTTTAAAATGATAAAAAAAACAATAAAACAAAATAATTTGCTGTACATTTTCAGATTTTTCTCACTCAAAAATTCATGTTCATAATTTGTTCTAATTGATGACTAAAAGAGCAGAGATGATATGTTTTTATTGACTTCGAATATTACGTAAGTAGTGTTTGAGGATACAATAAAATTTTTCTCAAAATAAGTATAATGATTTTTAATTGAGTAATGGTATGCAGGAAACTTATTTTGTATAATTATTTTTAAATAAATATATATAATATTATGAGTTTATTAAAAATGAGACCATTTAAAATATGTAGAATAATATTAGTATTTATTAATTAAATTTGAAAAAAATACTTAATTAAGTAAAAAAATGTTAAAATAGTATTATTCTTACTTTAATTACAGTTTTAGAGTTCCATCTTTTTTTTTTTAAAGAAAATTAAAAATAAAGCTCACTTAACAACCCTTAATCTACGACAGTTATTTCAACTTTCATGAACATTAAATTGGAAGTGAGAAGAGAAGAACATCATTAGAAAGCCCAGATGAAGAACAACACACTAATAAAAGTTTCCGAGCAACATTGTCTCAAATCATGCAAATACTCTTGGATAAACTATGGCAAAATGTATAAAGAATAACTAGGAAGCTGATAAACTTTATCCAATTAATGAATAATTTCAAGCATTAAACAGTTAAAAAAAAAGGATTGATTTCCAGAAATAGGGAACAGAAAATGGGTTTCAGATTTTCAGTTGGAATGCTTGTGGTGATGGTGGCGGTGGTGGTGATGGGGGTCGCCCTTATCAAATCCAAAACACAGCAAGCATACCGCAAATATGCACACAAAGCATCCGAGATCACGACATGTGCTGTCTCCTCGGTTGGTGTATGTGCGGTCGGGCGGGGACGGTGGCGGCTGCGGCTCATGGTGGTAGGGCTGCTCCTGGTTATAGTGATGATGGCTGAGGTGACGGTGATGGTAGGGCTCATGGTGAGTGTGGTGGTGATCGGAGGGCTGGATTTCATGGTAGTGGTGCTGGTCATCCGGTGGGTGGAAACCGTCGCCGTGGTGATGGTGGTGGGTATGATGGTGGTCCGCCGGCTGCTGGAAATCATCGTCATCGTCGTCGTGGTGGGGACCGGTCATGTTTTCTTGTTTTTGAACATAAATAAGAGAACACATCAATCAGAAATACCAAATTAAAAAAGAAAACAAAGAAAAAACATATAATATAGAGAAAATCAGGGATCTGATACTGACCTGCTAAAATCGTAGAAAATATCAGAAAAAAAAATACGACGTGTTCCAATTTGAATAATTCTGGTTGGTTGCAGCCTTGTAGAGGGCAACGAAATCTTTGTGCCTTTGTTGAATTCTTAAAAGAAAAAAAAAATCATGTAATTTCGTAACAAACACATAAACATCTCACCTATATATTATATTAATTTAAGTTCATAATTGCACCTAGGTTTAGAAGCCACTCACATTAGCCAGCTTGCTAAGTGCATTCCTCTCTCCTCTTGACGGGTTTCGAACCCATCCCGTGTCAAAATATTTAAAAATATATATATATTTAAGTTCATAATTTTTTATTAAAAAATTATTATTAAATTATTTAAATGATAATAAATGAAGGAGAGGAATATTACTTCCCGAGCGACCAAAGGACACCTCTCTTGTACATTTTTCTCACGCACACACGCGAGGAAGTAGTGCATTAACGCTAGTATGAATACACCCTCCTTTATTTTAAACCATCAAAGTTAGCAATCTCCAGTGATGATCATGCTATCGATTAAGCGACAAGTAACATGTACGCTGATTATGAATTTTATTTTTTTTAAAAGTAAATATTAATTAACTTAATTTAAAATTTTTTACTGTTTAAAAAAAAAAAAAACCATCAGAGTTACTACTGATCTTTCTTTCCCTCTCCTTTTCGTTCTCTTCCTTTCCTTTCTCTCTTTTTCCTTCCCTTTCCTTTACCAACTTCTATCCAAACAGACCCATTTGGTCTTTTTCTTTTTTCTTTTTTTTTTTTAACTTAAGAAAATTGTTAGAGATAAAAAGAAAATACTTGACATTATATTCCAAAACTTTCATATCCAAGCACCATCTCACAAAAAAAATAACCATTAGACCACATAATGCCAAACTCATTTGATCTGTTTAGTTTAAGAGAACAGCAGAGAAGGATAAATTTTTTGTGCAATTATATTGTAAAATTGGACACCGTTATAATTCGATTAAGTCAGCAATGTTGGGAAGGATGCGGTTACGGATGTAAAATTTTCATCGTATCAGTTTCATGACTGCTCATGGTATTTCAGCCAGTTAGGTATTTTTGTACATACAACACAGATTGTGTAACAAGATTTGCATACATAGGCTGGGAGTGCAACTGACGCTTTAAAAGGGATTCGCTATTTGTACAAAGTTGTCTCTGTGACTCTAGTCTCTATTCTCGCTTGTCCTCTTCGAGAACTTCTCCTATCACACTAGACACTTTCCTTTCCTTCCTTTCCACATCCCCAGCACCGCTTGTCAATGCAATACCCTCCTCATCAGAGTCCTCGCCTGTCTCCTCCATATACGCGTATCTACAAGTGCACAGAAAATTTTAGACGAAAGATTAAATAACACCTAGTGAAATGCATAAAACCACCAGGAAATGAATAAAAATGCACAGCATCAGCTACCGAAATCAATGCTGACTAGTAGCCAGTGTTGAGGCATTACCTAGTAGGGTTGCGTGAAGGAGACCAGAGGATACATATAACCACCAGGAGAGTGTATGAAATTAAATTCCAGAACGCTGGGATGATCCAGGCAATTTGCCATAACTCACCCAGTGGATCGGCTGCATTGAAGTATAACTGAGGCAAGATAAAAGGAGCTTCAATTACATAATTGTTACTTCTTGACAAAACAATAAAATGAACAGAAGAAATTGTATTACCTCAAAGCCAATCCAAGCAATAGACAACAGCACAGACACTGCAAGGGCATTGGTAAAGTTTCGGTACAGCTCCAGTTTTGCCATGTTTCTCCTCATCTATACCCAAAAGGAGCCAGAACAAAGATGGAAACAATTAGAACAATTTAAAAGTTGCTGCATTTGAGATTATTATTTTCAGTCAATAAAAGATAAAAAACCACTGAAGGCTTTTAGATTCTTTTGCCAACTATATATCTATAAACAAATTAAAACCAAATATTTTCTTAATGAAAACTAAAGAACTTTTCTTTTCCTGGGCAGAAACCATTTGGTTTTATGCCAAGAAATTTCAGTAGAAAGCTATTTGGTTTTATGCCAGGAAGTTCTGCTAGAAAGCTACATCACTCCCTTAAAGGTTGATGGAAGAATGGTTTTTAATGCCATAAAGAAACCATAATAAGGTCTCTAAAGAAGTCCTATCACAAGACCTAGGAAAAGAAACAAGTATCCATTAGACTAAAATGCTCCAAGGGCCAGATACAAACAGATTGTGCCATTAGAGTCACAACTACTAAAGTAAAATTAGTGAGTTACAATCACCATAATTATTACCAAAGTTTCATGTGAGGCCCACGACCTTCTAAGTTAATTCTTTATGGGCTACTTGGGATATCTTTATCATTTATTCCATGGAACATACTATATAGCCTAAGTAGATGAAACCATTGCTGGGTTTTCTAAGTGGAACAATGGAAAGAAATGAAATCATTCTTGAACAGGTGAAATGATAACAATTACAAAAAAATGATTTGAAAGGTTTAGACATATGCAACACAGTCATTAGGATACAATTCTTAAACAAGGTATCTAAAATGGATTTAAGATATGAAGAAATGGAGAGGCAGACCTAAAAGGCATGGCCCTAAACAAAGTGAATGCCCTGACTTAGTTTGTGATTAAGAATTGTAAGAGTTGGAAAGCACCAACTGCTCTAGAAATCCAATTTCCATATAAATAGACATAAGTATCTTTCTATCTGCATATCATCTGAGAAGAGGGGCAGTTATATGTCTTACATATCTGCGTAAGGAGAATTGACATGTCAAGATTGTTACCTGAAGTTTCTCTAATGTTTTGGATAGTGATGAGAAGATCCACAGGATAAACCAAGCATCCAGGCAAGCAACAGGCAGAAACAAAAACAAATTTGTTTTTCCAGAAAAATCATTAATGTTTCCCAAGTTTCCAACCAGCTCAAGTGCCTCTGTTGCAACAAAATATATCAATCCAAGAAGAAGCACTCTTGATGTTATTCCACCAAGGGTTGGCCTCACCACACCATAGCCCATGGAAACCACCAAAAGAAGAAGGCGAGATACAGTCTTCTTAACCGAGCTAAATGTTACTGCCCATGATGTAATACCCATAGGTCTTCTCCCAGTTGAATTAAAATTAGCATATTCAAAGTACCAGATGGCCATTTCACACATCCCAAGGGCAATCACCACAGTGATATGGTAGTGCAACTGTATGACATCCTTCCAGAACTGTACAAACTTTAGAAACCAACCTAGACCAAGTAGAAGGTATGCTAAAGACATGATGCCAAAAAATGTCATCAAAGGAGCCATCTTCCCAGGTAAATAACCATTTGGGTTCTTCCATACAGTCCTTCCTTTGATCAAAGTACCACTTAGTTCTGGATCGCAAAACATAAAATAGAGATAGTACATACCAGTACTATTTATTTCAATCTCTTCAATAACCATTGTAGCTTCTTCCTTATTCCCCTCAAAGAAAGTCTTGATGCGTTTAGGCCAATCAAAGTTATCCGGGTTTTTGTGGATGATAACCTCACCAAGCTTGCAGGAATCACTCTCCGAAAGACTTCTGTTACAACAAATTACATCAGACTTAAGAAATGCCCCTCCAATTCTTTCTCTGTCCTTGACCTCCAGTATGATAGCTTCAACCACTCCTGTATTCTGCTGCATTTCATTCTTCTTTAGAGCAGACTCTTTTGTTCTCACAAAGGTGACAGAATCAAACCTGAAAATCTAATCAATAAGTTTAGCACGCAAAAAACAAAAAAAAATCTAATCACCACTGCATTAAAAATTTCAATAAAGAAAAACCACCCCATCTCATAATTATTCAAACTATGTATGCCCAGATCAAATTCTTACATCCATGGCACAAGATAATCAAACTAGCTGCACTATGGTTGGAACTATGCAGGCCAAAAGCCGCCACTGCCTTACGACTCTTCCAGCGGACCCAGCTCTACAGGCATTCAAAAGCTTAAACTCTTATAAACCAATCACACTTACATTGACATCCCGACCTTCCCGATGGGATTTGGGGCATCACAATGGTACGGCAGCCTCATGTAGCAAGCAAAAAGAAACATATTTTTGCTAATATTAGACAAATTTGTCAAGCAAGTCGATTGAATTTGTAACAAAAATTGTACTCCTCAAATGCTTAGGGTTTCAGGCGTTAAAGCTAAGACCCAACACAGGAAAACAAAAACCCATAAAAAAAAATAAAAAAATAAAAAAATAAAAAGAAGAAGATTGAACCACAAGATCAAAAGAAATATGGTACCTAATGAAGGATTTTCCCTTTTCGGCGGAGGGGGAAGACGGAGTTATCTGAGGCTTAGAAGCGTGGAGTCCTTCCCTGCCGCCATGGAAGAAAAAAGCGTTCGATTTTTGACTAAATGATTCCTTCCTGTACTCGTGAATCGAAGCATCGACGCTTGGGATTGGAGAGAACAGAGAAATCGATATGATCAGAAGAATCCATGTACAGAGCTTGCCCTGCGCCATAGCCTTCTCGATGATTCTCTGCTTCTTCTTCTCTGTTTGTTCTCGCCGGAGCTTCGATTTGGTAAAGGAGAGAGGCTAACAGTGACCGCCCACCAGCGCCTAATCGGAACTTGTGATCCCACATCATCGTTTGATTGTTCCTTGGCCCATTATCGTTATGAAATGTGGGCCTTGATGAACCGTTAGGCCTAGAATTCTTCTTACGCAGGCCTGGCCCATTATTCTACAATGGATAGTCCATCCTCTTTTATAGTGTATTTAGTTTGAGGGAGGGGAATGAAGGGAAACAAAAGGATATCACATCTTTTCATTTCTCTCTCCTCCCCCTTCTTTTTTTTTTTTTATTTTTTTTTTCTCAAATTAAACATATTAGTAAAGAGTGCTTAGATAGATGTTGAAATGCTGGCTAGCATATGGTGGATATTGTTATGGTCACATACTATTTTTTTAAACCCATATAGTTGTTGTTTAGTTTGATTAATGTTTTATTAATTTGTATTGTTTTAAATGATTAGTTATGATATTTGAAAATCAACCTTTAAATAGATTTTAATTTGTTAAGTAAAAATATTATTTTTTTATCAATTAACAAGTATTTTTAATTGTTAAATTAAACAAAACAAGTATTTTTAAAATCATAACTATGTAACCTTAATATTTGGATGTGTGACCATAATCATAGTCATGGATTGTTGATAATCAATAACTAGTAATTATTATTATCTATAATTTAAATATTTTTAATTATTTGTTTCATTAGTCTAAAGTCCAAACTATTATTTAGCTAGTGTTATTTTGCAGGAAAATTATTAAAATATCTTCCGGTTCAATACACCTAATAATACTTTCCAGTTCAATCATTAAATTTTATTTTTGAAAATTTTTTCGTTTTAAATTTAAATTTAAAAATATTAGTTTTTTTCATGACTAAACTGAAATAGTGTTATTAGGTGTGTTGACTCAGATGATATATTAATTATTATCATATGTTGTAAATTAAGTTCATATTTAAAGTTCAACATTAAAGAAAATAAATATAAAGTGTGTTTTTAAAAATTTTTTAGATTAATCTTGAAATGCCTACTAACTGACTTAAGGGCATATTGATCTTAAAAAAAAAAAAAAACTCAACATTATCCTTAATTATTGGACCAAGAATTTATTACTACTAGCAAATAACCAAATGATATTTTCTCTAGAAGCGAGCAGAGGACATTGGAATCTAAAACCATTGTCGCGGAAGGCTCGAATAAGAAAATGAGTGAGAAACAAAGGAGCTTCGACCAAGAATATTTGAATTGCATATAGTCGATGATGAAAGTTTGAACTGAGAAAAGGGTGTTTGACCGAGAAAATTTTGCAATTTTTATTATTAAAATTATATGGTTTCATTAAAAATCATTCAATTTTTTCATAAATTTTAAGATGAGGAATGAATGGTCTCATTAAAATTATACAGTTTTAAAATAGAGTTAGATAATATTTATTAAATTATGGAGGTTAGGAATTACAAATTTTTTTGAGTCATCACTAACTGAAAATTATTCTCGTTTCAATTATACTATTTTTCTTTTTGTTAAAAGGAAAAATTTATTCTTAAATAATTTACTTAGAGTTTATTCGAGATTAAGTGGAAACTTAATTTCAAATTTTATATTGGTGAAAAAAATACGAACTAAATTTATTATGAGTGTATTGAAGCATTTTAAAAAGTCCATAATACTCTCCACACAAGTATGCGTTCATACGTATAATTAAAATACATAAAAACCCGATTTTAATGTTTATACGTAAATCTGAATAAATTGGATATTCAATAGCACTATTGTGGAGGGGGAGAGAATTTTTGAGCTTGTCCAGGCAGGATCTTACTTGTGGCTAAAACACAGAAATGGGTTGGGTTTACACAGTTTTACGGATTAGTTATTAAATCATAGGACAGTAATCGAAACATACTTCGTTTTAACATTTTAATAATATTTTTTTATTTAATTATTAAAAAATTATTATTTTTTAATTTAAAATTAAAAATAAATAAATTTAATAATATAATCATACACATAAAATACATAAATTAATTAAATTAATTATATTTATATTATATTTTTAATCATTAAATTAAAAAATACTGTTAAAGATGCTCAACTGATAGATCTACTAATCATTTTCTTAAATCATAAGAAAATCTCCAATACAGGCACAGTTGCTTTGTGTTTTCCCTTTTTTTTTTTCTCTTTTGAATAAGTTTATAATTAGAGGTAAGAGAATTTAAATTTTTACTCTTAGATGGGAAGATAAATCTCACAAACCAATTTATAACAGTTAAATCGTGAAGAAGTGAGGTCCAGTGCACACAATTACTTTGTTTTTTTTATCAAAATAAAACAGAACACACATTCAAATCATGTGAAAGGAAAATGTCGCACAAACAGTGACCAAGCTCGGTCGGCTCACTTTTAGTTTGGTAAAAAAAATTTACTTTAAAAAGCTCAAAAGAATTTGCGGTGAGTCCAGCCGTAAAGTAGGACTATCAAACATGTACATGTGCTCATGTCAGGTCGTAGGAGGCACTTACCTGCCACCTACACGTTGAATTTTGAATCCCA